CTTTTTATTTTCTGGCTGAATCATTTTTTCTTTGATTCGCAATGTATTCATTCTTCCATTGTTTTGTTCCTTGACAAAAAGCAGCATGTTCCTGGTTTCTTCTAAAAAGTCAAATATTCATTATCACAATTCGATGGGAATGCTCTCACACTCTCCCCCCCCCTCTCTCCATCCATCTCCCTATCTCATCTCTATCTATCCATCTATATATCTCTATATCTATCCATCTCTATATCTATTTATATCTATCTATCTATCTATCTATCTATCTATCTATCTATCTATCTATCATCATCATCTTCTTAAATATACATGCAGTTCTGGATTTACCACCATTTGTTTAAAGACTGTTTAGAGTTAAAATAGCACTGAAAAAAGTGATTTAAAACTAATCCTTGCACTTAAAATTGTCACAGCATCCCCATGGTCATGTGATCAAAATTCAGGTGCTCGTCAACTGGCATGTGTTTACGACAGTTGTAGCATCACCTGGTCATGTGATCTGACAAGGAAAGCCAATGGGGAAACTGGACTATGATCCACTTAACAACTGTAGTGATTTGCTTAACAACCATGTCAAAAAAAGGGCATAAACTTGAGCCTGACTCACTTAACAACTGCCTAGCTTAACAATAGAAATTTGGGTCCCAAGGATAACCTATAACCAACAGTACTCACATCCAACCATACTATCCTAGTATGATTTATGTTGATCGCTTATTTAATATTCATGACTATCACTAAGTGTTGTACCTAATGTTTTATGATGAATGTATTTTTATAATGACTATGATAATGATCTATCACTATTGTTGTATACTGAGAGCCTATGCACCAGAGACAAATTTCTTGTGTGTCTAATCACACTTGGCCAATAAAGAAGTCGAATTCTAACCATTTACAATAAAAAACCATTTTAAATCAATTCTTCACTAATGTATTTGGATGTCACATGAAATCCAATTTTAGTTGCTTTTTCTTTGTATTGTTTTTCAAATGCAGTAAGCCACCTTGAATACTACAATGGAAAAGTAGAATATTGTAAAAATCCCGACCTACTTTATAGTGCTTCAATTTCACTACGTTCTTTATGCCCAGCTGATATAGAACTCGACCAAGGTGTGGTAGTTGCCTAATGAATGATACCACTAAACCTGGTTTTGATTCCTCATCTTCTCTAAGCCACTAGGCCAGAGCAAGGCAATCTTTGCACATCAGGGGTTTGTGATCATCATTTACTTAGGTGGGGCAGATTTCCAGAGATGCTGGTTGTTTTTTTTAGGGATTTTGTTTTGTTTGTTATTTTTTGAGATTGGGTTATGAGAGGCAGTGTTAAACTGATGTAAAGGACAGTTCCCAGACTGATAAAGATTCAGGACACATTTATGTAAACAACCAGCTGCAAACTCCTTTGTTATCAATGAAAACCCCGCCATGTCAATTTGCAGAAAAACAAATAAAAAGACAATAAAGATGTTTTGGGATAAAGTATTTTTGGGATATATTGGTTGTTGATGGGGGGGGGGAATCAGTTATCAGAATCCTAATGCCATCTCTTCCTTATCTTTGCAAACAATATTTGGAGAATTGTGATGGGAAAAGAATGTTTTTTGGTTCAGATGTCATGAGCCTGACACTCATACAAGGATTTATAAGGCTTTTTAAAGCTGTGCTCCCACTGACACCAGAAATTTGGAAATTGCTCCTCAACAGACTGCTGCTGAAATGTGGTGGAACATTCAGCCTCTAGAGTCTCTGAGGCTGAAGAATGGCGTGACCTGACAATTGCGTGATAGACATATGCGCACCGACAAAATAGCGCCGATTAAAATGTGATATCGAAATCGCGCCCACAAATTCGCGATGTCAAAATCGCGCCGACAAAAGCATGATGACAAGCACAATAAAATCGAAAAAAATTTAGGGTTAGGGTTAGGATTAGGGTTAGGGTTATAACGTATGTATACGCGTCCCACTATGTTAAAGGCCCAGCACACTCACTGGCTGTCTATAGTTTGTTGATGATGTGATTTTGTCATTGCGCATTTGTCGTTGCGATTTTGTCAAAAATCAATTAGCGATTTTGACGGCACTCATTTGTCCGTCGCGGTTTTGTCACGCGCATATGTCTATCGCGCATTTGTCGGTGAACCGAAGAATGGAGCCTCATTTGACTAAATACAGATCGCAATGACACCTTAGCTATATTCAAGCATTTTTAAAATGACATTTTAACACATAAGCAGAAATCCAAGAGAATTGTGTTCCACCCATAATGCCAATTAGCTCTTCCCACAGATTAAATAAAGTATAACACAATAAGGTACAACAGAGGTGTCCAATCTTGGCAACTTTAAGATTTCCCATAATGGCTGGGGAATTCTGAGAGTTGACGCCAACAGATGACACTAAACTGGCAGAAATAGGCAACAGCCCAGAAGACAATCTCAAGATCCACAAAGATCTTGGCAGACTTGAACATTGGGACCTAGCTAATAAAATGAAATTCAACATAGATAAAAGTAAGGTTTTACACTTAGGAAAGAAAACAACAACTATATAGGTACAGATTAGGCAAAACATGGCTTAATGCCAGTAACTGTAAGAGGGATCTTGGAGTCCTAGTGGACAATCACTTAAATATGAGCCAACAGTGTGAGATGGCAGCACAAAAAAGCCAATGCAATGGTAGGCTGCATTAGTAGAAGGATGGAATCAAGATCGAATGAAGTTCTAGTACAGCTTTACAAGGCCTTGGTAAGATCACACTTGGAAAATTGCATCCAAGTCTGATCACCACAATATAAAAAAAGATGTTGAGACTCTGCTGTAGAGAAGGGCAATAAAAATGATTAGGGGGCTGGAAGCTGAAACATACAAAGAATGGTTACGGGAATCGAGTATGTCTAGTCTAATTAAAAGAAGGACTCGGGGAGACATGATAGCACTGTTCCAATATTTGAGGGCTTCTACAAAGATGAAGAGATCAAACTATTTTCCAAAGCACCAAAAGGCAAGAGAAGAAACAATGGATGGAAACTCACTAAGGAGACAAGCAACCAAGAACTAAGGAAAAGATTCTTAAAGGTGAGAGCAGTCAGAAGTTGTGGGTGCTCCAACACTGGAGCTTTTAAAAAGAGACTGGACAACCATTTGTTTGAAATGATATAGGGTCTCCTGCTTGAGCAGGAGGTTGGACTAGCAGACCTCCAAGGTCCCTTTCAACTTTATTATTCTGTAGTCCATGTTCTAAGTCTTAAAGGTATAAACCTGAGGTATAAATGTCTGTAAAGAGTACCACAGCAGTGGTTATTGATTGTATAGCTCCTTGCAGTGATTCATATTATGGTATATGTGCAGTAACTTGATTTAGAGGGTTCTGAATGTTGAAATACTTGATATAGCTCTGCTCTGCACTTGAATAGCCTCTTGTTTTAAAAATGGATTTTTTAAAATAAACCACTTGAATAATGTTTCTGATATATCTGTAAGCATAAACTTTGGCTACTCAGTGAATAAAATTCATGTAATAGGATTCCAGAGTCTAAATTGGATTGTACATCAAGCTTTATATTCTATAAATACTAAATATATTTTTGAAGTATGTTTGATTTTTAAAATGTATTTGATTTAATACCAAAAGGGATTTTCAGATGAATACATTTCCATCTCTCTTATAGACACCCTAGTGCTAGCTTAGTATACATTGACAGAATAGGAAACTCTTTATGTTAGACTCTGAATTATATCTAGTATATTTCCAACCAAAGTTTAAGCCTCTAAATAAATTGATGAAGGAACCTTTTTAAAGAAGTATTTCAAATGAGGCTTTTGATTAAAATTCTATATTCCTAAGAAATGATTACCCATATTCTTAAATCCATGAATATCTATAAATCCATAATTTCTATTATGCCTAAATATTATACTGCAAGTTGTTTCCCTTTTTTATGAAAAATGGAAAATAAACTGAAGCTTACCTTATTCATGTTTTTATATGTTTTTATTTTTTAAAACAAACATAAACAAGCAAAACACGTAACATAAAAACATATTCCATTCTGTACAGTGTGTCGATTGGTTACAAGGTTTTTGTGCCTCCTTTCCGTAGTCATCCCTTAAATTTTGTATAAAGTCACATATTGTCAATCAAGTATATTTGCATACATTATTATCATAGTACTTCATTTGTTTGACTGTCACTATTATTTCTTCATTTATAAACAAGGTATTCTAAATATGGGTTTGGAGAAACTACAATTGTCAGAATTCCAATCTTAACTTGGAGTTCTAATGCTAACATATCCTGAAGGCACAAGGCTAGGAATGGTTGGTCGACTGAGGAGAGCACTTTAATAATTGGGTTTACTTTTGCTGCCAGTTTGATACTTCCATTTAGTGTTAGTAAGAAAATAATAAGTTTTTTAAAGGAGCTGTGACCTCTTGAAGAAAAGTAAATTCTATGAAGCTCATCGTTTTTTGGAACAGAAATCATGCTGCAAGTTGACACGTTCCAAAAATGAGATCATCTAAAAGAGTGGGGAAAAGAGGGAAGCTCATAGGTGAGGTGAGCCAGCGGGCGGACAGATGTCCATGAGATGGAAAACAAGGGTGATGGAAGGAATGCTACGATAGGCATTGATCACTAAAAGGATAGAAAACATTATGCTTTTCAATTCTATTGCATTGAACGGCAACAAACACTTTACATTCATTTTGTACTTCTGATACTTCAGAATGCACAAGTATGAGCAGACAAAGAATGTGAGGTTTGAATTTTACAAGAATCTCTTTTCCACTCTCTTTTGTCTCAAGACGCATATTAAAAATGTAAACAATGAAGTCAGAATTAAAGATACTTAAGTAATTCCTATCCACACTTTTCAGATTTTCAGGGATGATGATTGTGATGATGATGATTGTGATAATAATAATAATAATAATACAGCAATAATAATGATGATGATGTCAGTGGATTTGTGATATCCTTTATTATTATTATTATTTTCAAACTACTTACCACACTTTGGAATGATTTTCTTTTTCTGCTTATTTTCTCCCAAAGACTATGTAGATGGCTTATTCATTCTTAATAGAATTCTGGATGCATCTCTCGCTTGATTGATGCGTGGATGGATAGATGGATACTGTATGTACTTGTATGCATAGTTAATCCATAAGAAATAATATGTGTATGTATGTACATGTACATATAAAATGTATATGTATGTGTTCTGAAATTAATTCTAGCAGTTCTTCAAGTTAAAACATACGCAAGAGCAGAAATGGAGAACCCTTGAAGCAATGTGGTAGAAAAGAGAAACTCAAAATTGAGAATAGTACAATTTCTTTAGAGAAAGACTCTCTATCAGCTTGAAACCAGCAGCTGAAATACTACAATAATCTTTTCTTTCAAATATGCCAGCTCTCTAAAGTCAGTGATCAGAGTTGTGTGTTTCTACCCTTTGGGTACCTGGGCTTTTTATTACTATGATCTTTCAGAAGGAAAGGAGATTTGATGGCTTTGCAGTTCCACTTTTCATGCAGAAAAATGAGAGGAGGAGATGCTTCATACTTCTAGCAATTTTACATGTCAATGCTTCTTTTTTCTTTAATAGAGCTCCAGCATTTCTTCTTTTACAGCTGCTCAGCCACTGCTTGTTATCTGTCAGAAAAAAGGTAAAGTACATCATTATTTTGGTTGGTACCATCAAGAATGTTTTTGTTTACTGTTACATATTTAGCCAAGTCGGTAATTGTCTTACATCAACATAAACTATTTATGTAATAATAATAATAATAATAATAATAATAATAATAATAATAATAATAATAATAATAATAATAATAATAATAATAATAATAATTCCGCCG